CCGCAAACCAAAGCCATCAGATCAAAGTTGAATCAATTATGACACTTTATTTATCTTTGGAAGCGCTGAACACGTTACGAAAGAGGTTAGAGTGATTGTGAGTTTACTTACACGGGAGTTGATGTTGAAGCCGAGCTTGTCAGGACACCACTGAAACAGTTGCCTACCCCACTACTTCGCAAGTTCAAATATAGATTTCAGTGTACACGAACTCTCAGATATATTTAATTTTCAGGAATATAGTTGGCGCCCTTTATTAATGTTTGAATTAGAACTTTTTATGCACTAAAAAATAGAGGAAAGAGTAGCTATAATAATATAGTGCAATAAAGAGCGCAGGATTCTATCGTAATAATGCAGCACAAAGTGACAATCAGTACCAGAATGAACCACTGGGATACAATTTTAACGGACTTCCTTCTGTTTCACTCTCGCACTCCAGTAGTGTGCTGTTTTATTTCGACAGACCTTATGTACTGGATAGAGGATAGTTGCTTGGATTTCGTTGGTTGTCCTACCTAAGCACAAGCCGATACCATGCTGATGAGTTGCCAAATAGCACGGAACAACTGTGCATGATTGGCTGGCTGGCATGGGTCGGACGAACGAAAGCTATAATGTTAGTTTAGCAGAACTCTAGTTGTACCATAAGTGACAATTGCAGTCAGAATCAATAGGTTGTAGCAGACTATGTGTAACGAAAATCTCAAATTGTATACAGGATTTGATGAGAGATTGAAAATGTATGTAATATCACCTTATATAGGGTGTCCGCAAAGTTGGGGTTTTTTTGTACACGACGTGTATATCTTGAAAACAAGCAATTTTTCTTAGTACCATATACACCAATGTCTTAAGGGAACCGAGATAAAGGGTTCTGCAACATCAAAAATATCTGAATACCGTCCTGTAGCCGCGACCCGCGACATCCCCGAGTGGTACAAGGTCACTGGCTCAACCGGACGACAGAACTGGGTCGGGGTCAGTTTGTCAGGTCAGTATGCAACCTTCAACCGACGGTTACGGTCACGCGTGTAGAGGTAAACGAACCCGTATAATCGATTGCGTTTCAAAAAAGAACAGGCACTAGAGACGTGGCTAGAGAAGTGCAAGTATCAAAAACTAAAGTATGGCAAACGCTGCGTGAAGAGGGGCTGTATCGGTGTCACGTCCAACGTGTACAAGCCCTTCAACCTGACGATTTTACAGCAAGAGTGCGGTTTTGTGAGTGGTTGTTGCATCAACATGACAATAATCCGGACTTTTTGAAGTGCATATTGGTGACAGACGAATCTACGTTCACGCGTAATGGGGTGAGTATCTTTCGCAACACTCATGTTTGGTCAGTAGAAAATCCGCACGCTGTCCGTCGGGCACATTTTCAACAAACATTTTTGGTGAATGTTTGGGCTGGCATGGTGAACGGTATGCTCATTGGACCATTTATTCTCCCAAATCGATTGGACGGGATGCAATAGCTAGACTTTTTACGCAACATTTTGCCTTCATTGTTAGAAGATGTGCCATTAAGTGTAAGACAATCAATGTGGTTTCTGAACGATGGTGCAGCGCCCCATTTTAGACGCGAAGTGCGTGAGTTTTTGAATGAATTATTTCCGAATAGGTGGATCGGACGTAATGGACCCGTAGCGTGGCCTCCGCGATCTCCAGACTTAACACCATGTGATTTTTTTCTTTGGGAAGAAATGAAACGCTTAGTGTACAAAACTGAAGTGCATACGGTTGAAGAACTTCGTCTCAGAATTGAACAAGCTGGTGCTTTCATTCGGGGGAGAGACTCCATACTCAAAGCCTGCACCGATGCTTGGCTACGTCGTGCACGCACCTGTGTTTTTGATTATCAAACAGCGATAACTTCGAACAATACCTATAAAGTACGTTTAGCTAAAAACTGAAGACGCGGCAACGCCGTCATATTGTTACCTCTGTTCGTGGTCTTCACCACCGCCGGCGTCTGCTCGGTAGCGCATCAGCTGATTTCATTTTCTGTTGGAGCGGTATGATTTCGGGCAGAGACGTACTTAGCCCTTCTCGTCAACTGGAGAGCGAGTACTTTTTCCTTTATTTTTTTTAATTGGTCGCCCTCGTTTCACTACACATTACCTTTGTTATTTCAAGGGTAGTTGTTTCTGAAAAGGAAAACCCCAACTTTGCGGACACCCTGTATAGTTATAAGACTCTTCAATTTTTGTGATTCTTCAAAAATCACCCGAAGTTGGGCATTTGAAGCTAGATAACAAAAGATATGGTTGAGAATTCAATTGATTTCTTTATTTTGTGCTAAAGTTAATACAGTCATAAAACTGGAAAAATACTTTATATAATAGCCTTTCTGATAAATAATAGCTTTCTGAAAACATTTACAAAATCAGTATGGAACGGTTTAACTCTCAACAAAGGCCCAGTCAAGCCGATTCACGTCAAAAAAATAATTTTATAGATAGACGATCATTTTAATAAATATTTAAAAAAATATTAATTTCACACAAGTCTCGCTCAACATGAACAACTTGGGTCGAACTTTGGGTTCTTGGGTAGTTTTCTCGTTATCTAAAAAACCAATTTCCAGCTTCGGGTGATTGCTGAAAAATCACAAGGATTGGAAGATCTCGAAAACTGTTCATTCTCAACCATACGTATATGTTGGGCTTAATCAGTTCATCATTCATTTTATCTCTCCTAAAAATTTCTAGAAGAAATGTGGCGAAACCGTATTCACATAAAGGTCGCTCGAGAAATACTCGAAACAGAACACGGATTCACAGCATTGTTATTGGAGCTTGAACTTGCATTTTAAGCTGTTACGTAAATAGATGTTCCTGATTGTTAATAATAGGGTACATTCATAAACTTAATCAACCGAAAATATATGAATAAGGTATTGAAAATGAAATGGAAGAAGGGTCAGTGAAATTATTTCATAATTGTATTCTGTCTAACGAAGATTTATTACTTTGAAGTTGAGTCATTAATTTTCAGATAATGTAGATAATGTAGAAGGAAGATAAACCAAAATATGTGTGTAAAAATAAAAAAAAATAAAAAAAAATTTTTACCTTGTTTTATAAAGTATCCTCCCGACAAGTATTTCAGTGCGGACCTGTATTTGATCGTGAGGTCCCCTGTGAGGTCTTAAGTCAGCTGATTCAGGAGCCCGTTGTACTACATTAACAAAGGCACGAGGGGTTGGTTGCACTCGATTGGGAAACCGATCCGCATAAACATGTGCCATTTTTTATTTCGTTTGAGCCACGCAACAGATACCACTATTCACTGACACTGACTGTATACAAATGAATGAAATAATTGTAAAAACATCGTTCCAAATTCTTTCGCTTTTTTGTTTCCGATGCGATGAACCGATACGGCGGATTATATCCGTTGTCGCCAAACACGAGCACACAATATTATTATTGAGACAGGGCGGTATTCAAACTTCCAAAGGGCTATAACTTTGTTACTTTAATTTTACCAGAAAAATGGTAAAGGAAAAAACATTTCTTTTGATCAGATCTACTCACTGTTAAAATAAATGACTCAACTTCGAAGTCACCCTGTATATATTACTCTAAACTAAACGAAGTTTAAAAAATGAATCAGCATTACTGAACTTACTTCTGTTTATTAGGTATTTGAGGCTATTGTGATTTGTGACACCTGTTGTAATAGATGTCAGGCGAACAGCTGGTTGCTTCACTTATCGCGTTAATAAGTTTTTAAACTTTTGCACTGTTTTTTAGCTGGATGATTTTTACTTGAATTTTGTTCGATCTGTAAACATGCCAATAACAAGTGGCGCTCCGGCTCACAATCTGCCATCCTAGGACGAATGAATCTTATAGTACAAGAGAGTGTGAATGCTTCTAGGCTTTGCAGTGACTTCTATCACAGGTGACCCGTAACAGCTGATCAGTCACTGCTCCGATGATGGCATGTAACAGGAATCACGTAATAATAACTATAGCTCAGTTTTGGTAAGAGAACGAGAACTGTTAACTTTAGTGGCTGATCTAGAATTTATAGGACTCGAAGCGCAAAATTCCTGTGGGTCCCTGTTTAGTTGAGGAGTGGGGGGAGGCTATAACCTATGAGTCTATAAGCTCTGGGTCCCATAAGCCGCATTCCAGGGTCCCTAAAGTTGGACGCACAAGGCACCGTGCGCGTTATCTTGAGTCCGCCCAGGGTGAAGTCATAAATAGCATGATTTAGTTCAAATAAATTATTTTGCTTTTGTTGTTCAATACTTTGGTCTATTCTTCACTAAATTCTTAAAACTGAAGGTTGCTTTGGGCTACCGTTTCGATCAATTTATGGATTACCATATTTTTGGAAAGTTGGCAGAATATGAAAGTTTTCATTTATGTTCAGCATATAACATATAAGAAGTGTCAGTCCAGGTTATCTTGTAAACATATTTCCTCAACCTACCTCTCCAGATTACCGCATACCTAACAAGAAGTACTCAGTCGTGAGACTCGACTTTTTGCAAACCGCTTTGCTACTACTTACTTCGATCAGGTCTTAGGCCCGTATCGTCAGTCGTCCCTACAATAATTGTAGGGTGCCTTTATGGCCTTGTCATAGTTTTCTATTTTTCCATGTCAGTGCTCTACTTTGAGGTTATGTCACAAACATCTATTTGCATCAAATTGTACTTGCTTTTGAGTTATATCATGTTTTATCAGCCTAAAATTTCCTACAATTTAAAAGGAAAACATATCTTCACAATAGGAGAGCGCTGACGCTGACACGGGATAAGTGTAATCTAGAAATTTTTGAAGGAGAGAAAAGAGTATGACAATCAAGGAGGCCATAAACGCGCCCTACAATTGTAGGGATGACTGACGATACGGGAGTAAAACGTATATTTTGTACGACAAAGAATCTAGTACTTATTTCGTATTCAAACTGCGGTCAATTTTAAAAAAATCCAGCGACGCTGACTGTACTGCGTCTATTTATTGTAACAATATACTTACTTTTCATTTTGGTAAAGTGGTTCTTTCAGCCTACTCTTCAACAACCTCCCAACCCTCACGGTCCTCCCAACCTCCAGCATAAGTTTCTCCCTAACTCCGAAGTAGTAGTTCACCCTCTCCATCTTGATAGCAGAGTCCATGAGCAGTATGGTCGCTACAGCCTCTCTTAAGTCCCTAAGTCTGTTCATCTGCTCCTCGATAGATCTGTGGAAGACGGTAGATACCCTCAATCTGGTCATTTGCTCTTGGCTGATGGCGAAGATCCTTTGCCATGAGGATCGCAGTTTTTGGTACAGGTTCGCGTGGTCTTCTAGAGGTAGTCTGCAGGATTGCCGTAGAACCAAGGAGGCGTTGAGGAGCTTGCATCCGTAGTGGTAGGTTGACTGGAAGTAAACTCAGTCTCACTTTTGGAACGAATAGAAAAAGTGCTTTTAATCCTGCTGAAAACGCTATCGGACCAGTTTTAAATATACTTTTCAAAATCTTTGTGAGGAGACTCTTTATCTCAGTGTGAGGAGATATGAGGCAATTTAAGGAGATCTGAGGCCATTCATCGAGGTTTTATATCGCATCAACAAGAAATACAGCATTTATGTCATATTCAGTACAGCAGGTTTTCTTTGAGTCGCTGATTTGTAATACGGTATTAGTTTGTCTCTGTGAGGGCATTTTAAGGTGAATCCGAGCAGTTGAGGACGAATATAAGATTATCCTTTTTGCGGCCATTGTTCACTTGAAGAGTAGATTAAAAAGTGGAGTAATCGGTTCCAACTACTTGTGTACGAGATTATATTTCTCAGTAGTCTGACTAGATCTTATCTGGCAGTACTTCAGAGTCTACAAATATCATTAATCCCCATTAGGGCAAAATGCAGAACCTTATTAAATCTCCCTACATGAAAAAAAAATGAAAAAAACGTTTGATACACGGTTGAATATGAAAACAACAATAATGTCATTTTGTATTGCAACGAATGGAAGTTCGTAACCTTTTTATTATGATACATTCTGAAATGTTTAACATACAAAACAACATATGATATAGTATGTCGATACAATCCCGCTTTTCCAATAAAAAGTAGTGTAGTGTATCAACACCACAAACTTCGAGTTTGATAGTCTGACGTGGTGAAGATAGCGTAAGCAAAGCTTATATTCTATGGACAAGTTATTATTTAAGCAGTGGTCGCCAACCGGTAGCTCGCAAAGGCAATTCTGGTGGCTCACAACATAGTTTAAAAAGGTATAAAAATCATAGAAGCTTCCGTAAATTTTGTAAATTCTCAGAATAAACGCGAGCAACGGCAACACTGCAGTCAGCGATCTGTTCGAGAATGATCCCGATTACTTTGAACGGAATAAATACGCAAGCGCAATCATATAGTTTTACAGTTAAGAAATGACTTCGATAAGTGTGTTTTTTTTAATAATACATCTGCCATAGTTTAATTTTTCAAACAACATGATGAAACGATCCTGGAACTGGAAAATTCAGTCTGGCTTAGAGATTTTGGTTTTCTTGTGGATATTACAGAAAAATTATATGAACTTAATTTGCAGTTTCAGGGGACAGACAAAGAAATAGCAGAAATGATTTCTGATAGAAAAGCGTTTATCGAAAAGCTTGAGTTTCAGAAAAGATATCTCAAAGTCCATTAGAACAATCTTATGACAGCAAATATCATATAGAAATAGTCTCCAGCTTGAAGGACAACTTCAAAAATCGTTTCAAGGATTTCAACGAAATTGCTATAGTGGCGCAATTTGTTATTCATCCTTCATGGAAATTGATATCCAACAGATAGCAACTTCTGTTACTCAGAATTTTAGCGAAGACATCGCTACGACAGAAATGGAAGTGATTGCGTTTAAAAATGATTTAGCTTTAAAATCATTCGATTTGTAGGAATGGATGTAGTTATCTAGTATGTACCTATTAGTTATTAGTTTATCTAGGCTTAAATGAACACATGTATGTCTCATAAAACTATGAATAATTTTATTTAAGTTGGCTTACATTGCTTACGACTAGGTAGCTCACTGTTCCAAAATTACCAAAGTAGCTCAATACACTGAAAAGGTTGGCGACCACTGATTTAAGGAATTAACTTTGAAGTAGGCAATACGTTCAATTCATTTGTTTTACTCCGTTTTTTGTCTTTTTGACATAACCAGAGCTCTCTGCATTGGAAAAACGTACGAGGCAATCTAAGGAAATTCGAGGCAACCTCAAAAAGATCAGGACATAGAAATAAGTCTGGAGACACTTAAGGGTTTCTATAAGGATCCAAAGAAATATGGATGAAGGAATTATGTTCTTCTCCCTTTTCTTCGAATAAATTTGGAGAGAACCACGGATCTCTAAGAGGATCCAAAGAAATATGGAGGGTGGAATTATTTTCTTCCAATGAAGCTCAGTGGCTGGTAGCTCGATTACGACTATTTTTTCAAGATTTGGAATATAGTAGATTTCAACATGCATAACGATTGCTCCAAAAATATTCAAGATAAGCCCAACGTCATCATGCAGGCTATTCACGAATCCTTAGGCTTCCAGGCTGACTTTCTTTAACATGAACGCGAGCGTGGCTTGTCTTAGCTTCTCCGTACTTATACTAAGTGACATATAAATCTGAACACCCAGTTTAAAAGGTTCTATTTTAATAAAATTTTGTATAAGTACTTAATGAAGCATAATAAGTAAATGATAAAAATTTCAAAACGATTGCACTGCTTTAAAGCCCTTTGACCTTTGATAATGTGTGGATGCACCCTGATGTGCTACGCATCCTCCAACGCGCCTAGGCATGCTTCTGATCAGGTGGTCAATATCCTCCTGTGGTATCTCATTCCAGGCAACCACCAACTCCTCTCGAAGTGCTTCTAGAGTCTGAGGAGGACGTTGCAAATTGAGCAATCTCCTACCCATCATATCCCACACGTGCTCAATTGGGGATAAGTCGGGAGATCTTGGTGGCCATGGTAACAATGTGACATCATTATGTTGAAAGAAGTCTATTGTGACTCTTGCAACATGTGGTCGGGCATTATCTTGTTGGAAAGTTGGATCTGCCAGGGTGTCAAGATAGGGTAAAAGATGGTCTTCTAGAACTTCGTGGATATAACGCTGCGCGTTCATGTTACCTCTGATGAAGATTAAAGGTGACCTGGAACCATAAGCTATAGCACCCCAAACCATAACTCCAACAGTGTGATGAACAGGTCTTTCAACAAAAGACTGTGGATTCCTCCTTTCACCGCGTCGCCTTCTAACCCTGGCACGACCATCGTGCATGCCTAAACAAAATCGAGACTCGTCACTAAAGACAATACTGTTCCATTCCTGATCCCAGACTGGCCGTTGTCTGCACCACTCAAGGCGATTACGTCGGTGTTCTCGAGTTAAAGGGAGGACCCAGTGTGGCCGGTATGAAAACAAGCCAAAACTTCTCATTCGTCGGTAAATACTTCGCATGCCAATAGGTCTTCCGTGTTCTGCAAACCATTCATTTGCAATGGACCTGGTAGTGGAGAAACGGTCCCTTAACGCCAATAATTTTAGGCGGCGATCTTCACGGTCTGTTGTTCTATGGCGGCGTCCAGTGCCCCTTGCTCTTTGCGAACGGCCTTCTCGAAGCTATGCCTGACAACACCTAACCACAGTGTCTACACTTCTTTGCACTCTAACTGCAATTGCCCGAAAAGAAGGTCCAGCTTCCCGAAGTCCCACTATACGGCCCCTATCAAACTCACTAGGTTGACGAAATCGTACAGGTCTCGGTACTCTAGGCATCGTAACCGATCGTAAAGGATGTCAAGAACCAAAATCCGCCAACGTTGATTCTTTACTGCGACTGAAATATTCATTTTTAGAGCGTTAGTGAATGGAAAAAAAGCAGTATAAAAACCGGAATGTCCAACTGATAAGGCTGAAAATTTTTTCACTTGTTATTTACAGTAAAATAAATACATTCACCAACTTTCATTAAAATAAAACCATTTAAACTGGGTGTTCGGATTTATATGTCATTTAGTATATTTATCCTTTCATTGCTTCATTCCGTTTAACAATAACGTCGAGCTTTCGAACTTTTAGACAATTTTCTGGTGTCATAGTAAACTGTAGTATTGCGGTATTGTTTTAAGAACACAGAAATCTACAACAACAACAACATTTATTTTGCATTTCGTACGATTTTTGTTCGATTGCTGAGGTCTGCTTAATAAACCAAGATTTAGTGATACGCAGCAATTTTGTAGTTACGCCGACTTATCGTTCTTGATACTATTTATTTACAAATAACCTCGCTAACAAATGAATTACGAATAAACCCGTTGCAATACATGACAAAAATATTTCATGATAAATATGCATACCTTAGCAGTGTCAATGACACCCTGATGCGCTTCTTTCTCCTTCTGCAACTCATAAACGGTACAACCAACTTCGCTATGCTCCTTCATTAAAATCTGGAGTAGCTCATCCAACCACTGTATAGCTTGGTGTGTGTATTTCTCATAGTTGTCAATATGAATGACCTGTTCCAAAGTGATCTTCTGAAACTCTACACTATCTGTGAAAATATTCCTTCTAGCGTTCGTCCCTTCTATCACATCGCGAAGGTTGAAAATGTCTTCGGTGTAGTCTGTGCTGAGGTCCTTGCCAAGAGTATCTTTCACTGGCAGCAAGAGCAGTTCTGATAGCTTTTCACCTTCTTTGACCAGTTCGTGTTGTATGGCGTCTGAAAATGCAAGGTATTATGGATTTAAACACTTCAAGACTTACAATTGCATCTGTTGTTGGTAGGATTGTTCGAAATTTTTCAGTAGATTGTGAAATATTCCAGTAGATGTACGAGCCCCATCCCACTTCAGTTGGCCCACTTCAAGATTTGTATTAAAATATCCCTTTATAAACTAAACATGACGAACCTATTTACTTCTAAAACAATTTATTTTCTCGAAAACATTTTAGATACACTCTAGTCCTAAAAAATAGATATTTGAAATCACTTAGACCTATAACTAATAGAACATCTGAACACACAAATAAACAAAGCAACAATTGAAAGATTACCATTGGGTAACATCACCTTTATTTTTTATTACGGATGAAATTCTTTGGGGCACAGTGTTAACCAAGTTTTGGCAAAAATTTGGTGTAAAACAATCCCATATTTATTGAAGCTTTCGTCTCAGTTCGTTGATTGTACGAGCAGGATGTTGTCGTAGAACCTTTTTCATCTCGTGCCACAAAGTTTCAATAGGTGACAGATCTGGACTGCTAGAAACCCATTTCAAAAGTGGTACATTATTTTCTTCCATCCATTTTATAGCCTTTTTTGTGGTATGGCACGCTGCGCCATCTTGCTGAAACACAAAATCTTGGCCGGATGTCAAACATTCTTCCATCACTGGTAAAAGCGACTCTTCTAGAATTGCCAAATATTTGTTTGTATCCACATTTCCATCAATAAAATGAAGTTTTCCTACTCCTTTTGATGACAAACTGCTCCAGACCATAATGGATGCTGGAAATTTCACTTTTCTCCTCAGACAGTCAACATGGAATGCTTCATTTTTTTGCGAATAACTATACTGCGACTGTCACCAACACAAACTTCGAATCGGGCCTCATCACTCCATTGTATTGCGCACCATTGTTGAGGTGTCCATTGTCTATGTCCTTTAGCCCATCTAAGCCGATTTTTCTTTTGCAGTGGAGTTAATAGTGGCTTTTCTTTGACCTATAAACAAGTGGTGCAACTTTAGGGTTTTTACTTCGCTTTTTTTTATAACAAAACTTACCTTGCAAGTGTTAAATCCCAGTTTGTGGGCCTCTCTATGAGTTGTGGACCTCGAAATTCTCCTTCCAACAGCGTCATTTAACAGAGCACTTAATTGTTAATAATTGGCACGCCTCTGTTTTGCACGATTATTCTTCTTAGTTCTCTTCGGTCGGCATTTGTGATATTACTTTTTTTCACATATCGTGGCTTAATATTAACTGAACCAGTGACGTTATATCTTCTAACAATATTTTTCACACTTTACCGCGATAAGTCTAACAAAGTTGCAATTTCTGAGTTTGATTTCCCAGAATTAAAGAATCTAATTATCAGTAACCGAATTTTCTCACTAATAACCTTTCTTATACCCATTTTGAAAACCTTAACTACCCAAATCTAGTTTAAACGTATTCTGACAGCTGTGATTAATAAAAACAATTGTCATGGCTTTTATTTTTCACGGCCACCTATGCGTTATAGAGTTATTTTGCATTGAAATGAAAATAGGTTGATATGCTGTAATTGCAACATGTGTTATTTTTATGCTGCAAATTTGATTAGGGAGTTATAAAGTTGGTGTTTTCTACAATATATTATCAAAATATTCATTGTTAATATTTTAAACCTATAACACGCTGCTACATTTTTATTATTTGTGTTTGATAAGAAAAAAGCTAAGATTTCAATAGTTGAGCCAACTGAAGTGGGAAGGGGTTCGTAGCCACAAAAACCAAAGAATGATTTTTTTTAAATCAATTAATGAGTATGTTAAAATTTGTCAAAAAGAATTCAATAGAGAAATCAAAAATCCCAATCTCAATAAATTCTCTATCGAAAACAATCTATATGGTATATAAGATTACATATGCATAAACTGCAAAATTAATAGCAGTCTCCTTTTTGTTTTCATTAATCTTTGTCATGCTGAAAACCACAAAGTTAGCTCTATATCTATAAGCCCTTTTGGATAAAGCAGGATGACAGTATCGGTATTTAGCCTATCCCTTACAGGTTCACCTGTGAAACAATGTTGGTTGGCGTGTCGGGCCTTTTTGGAAGAATGACAAAAACACATGTAGGATAACATTATCTTTGTGGTTTCTTAGGTGGTTTCATAACAGAAATATATGAGACAACTTACTCTCCGAATCGACATAAAGGTAGTTTAATCTCTGTAGGTGTTACATTTTGTAGTTGCGGAGTTCAGGACTAGAATTGTCAGAAAAATTGGTAAACCTCGTAACACCGTTCACAAGTCAAGATAATACGATAAGATAAGATCATAGTTAAGGAGACTAAGTGACAGACAAACCCAAAATTATACTTTCTAAAGAAGGTGGTAGCTTTTGTGGAATTCTTTGACGTTTCCGAACAAAACTCCGGAACAAATGCTTTTTGGTGAATGATTAATTTCATTTCACTGGGAGGTTCAAAACCTATTCAAAAACTCACAAGAACCAACCTTCTTAAATTCTCCCTTACCTAAAAAATCCTGATTCTCCTTAAGCTCTCTCAGCTTGAACGCCGCCGACTCAAAGTCTGCCACGTTACTTCTTCTGATGAGCTGGTCAAACACCTCAGCAGTTTTCTCGTAGTATTCAGCAACTAAACTATAAAACCTTAACGAAGTGGTAACTATGTTCCTCCTAGTCTCTAACCGACCCGCAAAGCTCTTACAAACGTAGTCCATGTATTCTTTCTGAGCGAGTAGCTCAGTGTGCTGTGGGCTCAGATTCTCGTCATCTGAGAATTTGCCTATTTCGCTGATCAATTCTGCGTAGACTCCGTAGGTTTCCCAGCATTGCAGTTCGATGCTCTCGTGTTCTCTTTTGAGGTGGTCGGCTGAAGTTACGTCGTAGGGTACTTCTTGTCTGGATTTAGAAATAGAAGGATAACAAAATTCATCAATCAAAAGTAGGACAATAATAATAATAATAATAATAATAATAATAATAATAATAGCTTTATTGTCCAACAGTTTCCCATTTATAGGAAAATTTATAAACATAATACAAAAGCAAAAAAAAAGCGAAAAGAAAACAACAAACGCAACACATGTATACATATGTAACATGAGCTATTGGTCCGAATAAGCCTTAGCTGCCTTTAGCAGGTAATTAACTTTTGTCGGAAATATATCACAGTAACATCCAATTCTGTTTAAGTTAGAGCACATTACATATAACGGTGACTTGAGAGGAATGTTTGTCCTAGCTCTAGGAAGCCCGAATATTTTATGATTGCGAGATGCAAACGTTGGAGTACGAAACTTGATCTGTTCCAGGATCATGGGGCAATCAATTAAATTGTTGATCATTTTGTATCCAAATATTATTGAGGCACAGTACCTAGGTTTTTTCAAAGTCAACATGTCTAAGCGACTACATAGTTCCTCATTACTTGTACCTCTCTCTGGATATGTCCCATCAATCCTAAACAGAACAAACTTCATAAAATTCCGTTGTACTCTTTCAATAGCTGTGCTATAGCATTCATAGTAAGGGCTCCAAATAATACTACAATATTCAAATTTGGATCTAACATAAGCATAATATAATAGCTTAATAGACTTTATGTTATGAAAATTCCTGCAATTTCTTACTATGAAACCATAAGCCGCCAATGCTTCTGATGCTTTTTTATTTATATTCTGACTAAAAGTTAACGTTTGATCATAGATTATACCTAAATCACGTACATCAGAGCATCTTTCTAGCACAGACCCATCAATAGAGTACGGATATTCGCAAACATTAATTTTCCTGGTATAGCTGACTATTTTACACTTCCTCACATTAAGCTCCAACTTGTTTTCTACACACTAAGACAGCACAAAATTTAATTGGTGTTGTAGCTTGATACAATCATCAGGAGTATTTATCTACGAATAAATTTTTAGGTCGTCAGCAAAGCATAGACGTTCACATTCAACTGAGTCACAGAGGTCATTAATAAATATCAAAAACAGTAATGGTCCCAGGTTGGACCCCTGAGGAACTCTAGAAGGTGCCAAGTAGGTCTCAGATTGGAAGCCATTATAGCTAACAAATTGTCTACGATCGGATAAGTAAGATTTCATCAACTCCCTAGCATCATCTGTGAAACCAAGTGCACCTAACTTATTTAATAAAGTTTTGTGGTTAATTTTATCGAAAGCCTTCGAAAAGTCGGTATAAATAACGTCAACTTGCTCATTACTCAATTGCTTCCGAGAGGTACTGCGTTATTATAATTAATAAGGTAAATAAGGTGACTTTTCAATTACAAGATATAAGGCTTGGTTTCCTAGTGGTTGTCATTCAGACTTCAGGACATCCCCAGTAAGAAATTTTTATTACTGCGAAGAAAATTGTTTAAACACAGTTTGTGATTTTAATTATTTAATAGTTATGTTACGCACTCACTATCCGGAAAATCTTTATATCATGTCTGTTTCTTAATAGCGAGCTTCAAAGCTTTATTGTGCAAGCAAGTGCACTGCACGAATTTAATAAGTATTTCAGTCTCTTTGGTAATATGTACACAAAGAATAACTAACTAAACGCTACCTGGAATTCATTAAAAAATCTCCATAGTTCAAAATCCAGTCAACGACATTCGACACCATTTCTTCTAATTCTATCAGACTCCTTGTCTGTTCGTGGATCTTCTCCAGTTCTGCCCAGGCAGCATCGGTTTTCTCTTTTTTCTTCTTGACGTTACTTATCACCTCTGACACCCTGTCTATCGTGTCGATTGACTCTTGGGGACTCGACATTGTCAAATCGAAATCTTCGGCTGCTAGTTTTCTTGTTTTGTTTTCTTGTTCCATAGTGTCTATTATCTCTTTCCCTGAAAATAAGAATAAAAATATACACTAATGAAAAAAATTAAGGGTTCAAATAAAATTTGTAAATGTTCATTGTTCCTTTGAAGTGCTCTATCTAAGTATAAAATGGTCTTATTGAGGTTTTAAGAGAAGTATTATAAAGCTTAGAATGTCTACTTTTTTGATCTTTTGTTCAACAAGCAACTTGTTCTACCCTCTCTTAGGAAACACTGTAGAGTAAAACATGCACTTTTTATCTTTTTATTGAGCTCCACGGACAGAAACATGATTTTCCGCTAAACCATCGCATGGACCTACAAGCCTGTTCACCCAGCTTCAATTTGCTTCTTCAGAACCTCGGTACGACCATCTTTGGATTATTTAACAAAAAAGTACCCTTTTGGCTTTGATCATGGGCATCTTAGGATACAATCAGATTATAAAACTGCTCGCCTAATAATGGGTCACTCCTCAAGCTGAGTGTGCGCAGTTTGTTATTGTTGCAGGTATTTCCAAGATTGTACCTCTTATGCAGTTATACAGGGTTTGTCCGGAAAGTAATAGGACTGACTCGATTTGAAAAAATTTATTGAGCCAATCGTTCCAATTCTTTAAAAACTTTCAAAATAGGCTCCTTCTGCGTCGATGCAGTGCTGCCAGCGTGACTTCCAAGCATTGAAGGCGTCACGGACGACATTCTCCGGAATAGCGTTGAGAGCCGCGGTGCATGCTGCTTGGATCCCCTCTGTCGTCTCAAAATGCTTGCCTTTCATCGGCCTTTTCAGGCGAGGAAACAAAAAAAAGTCCGGGGGGGCCACATCTGGGCTGTAGCGCGGCTGCGGAAGCGTTAAGATGCCTGTCTTGGTCAGGTAGCTATTCACAAGAAAGGCGGTGTGAGCCGGGGCGTTGTCATGGTGCCACTTCCAGTCGGCTGCGATGTCTTGTCGGACCCGACTGACCCTTCGTTTGAGTCTCCTGAGCACTTCCACGTAAAACTTGGCGTTGACGGTTTGTCCAGGAGGAACAAATTCATGGTGGACGATGCCTTTGATGTCAAAAAAGACAATGAGCATCGTTTTCACTTTGGATTTGCTCATTCTTCCCCTTTTTGGGCAAGGAGACGCCGTCGTGTGCCACTCGGAAGATTGCCTCTTTGTCTCGGGATCATACTCAAAGATCCACGACTCGTCACCTGTGATTACGTTATTCAAAAATTGGGGGTCACTTTCACACATGTTCAAATTTTCTTGGCACACTTCCACTCGCCGCAATTTCTGGTCGTCAGTGAGCACTTTTGGGACCATCTTCGCGCACACCTTGCGCATGTTCAAATGCAGTGTCACAATGTCATGAACCACAGATTTTGGTTAATTTAACATCTGGGCAATTAAAAGAACACTTAGTCGACGGTCTGAGTTCAAAACTTTGCGCACACGAGTCACATTATCGGTGTTTGTTGAAGTCGAAGGTCTTCCAGCACGGTCTTCATCAACGACCTCTTCCCGGCACTCCAAAAAGGCCTGGTGCCACCGAAACACACCACTTCTTGCTAAAGCAGCACCTGGGTAAGCCTGCTTGATTATATCAAACGTCTCTGTCGCAGATTTACCGAGTTTCACACAGAATTTAATCGCGTACCTCTGCTCTAACGAACGCTGCATTTTCGGCTAGCACCACCACTCACAGAAACACGTCGCGCGAAAATGCCTGTCCGGACTCTCCAAGTGCTCGAAGACAGCAGACCAGCCGGTCATTCGTTAGATTGGAATGCCCTCTACCGAATCCAGTCGGTGCGCGCATGCTCCGAAGTACAGTCATGGCGGAAGAAAATGAGTCCTATTACTTTCCGGGCAAACCCTGTATTAGATCGTTGGCTATTTCTAGCAATTCTGCAGACTACGATATTGTCTACTATTGTTTCGTTTTTTAAAATCATAATAGGAAACAATTGTTGTGGTTCAGTGTGATATTAGACTTGGCTGTGGCAAAGATATAAAAACAGTTAATGTCATCTCGAGCTCAATTATGGTCAACTTTCTCCAGTGCAGCGCGACGGATATTATCATCTATCGCGTGATGTCGCGGAAGACGAGACATGCTAATCTTCAATTAATTCCATCTAGAATCCTTAATTTTTGATCTCCCATCTGAACGGGAAAGAATCTATTAAACTTGAGCCATTGTCACAAAGACAAAGAACACTCTTCTACGCTACATGATATCCAGCAAGTTGATTGGGTAGCACTACCTTGAACAAGAGCTGCAGTGTTGTGAAGGAAAAAACAAACCAATGGTGACCTTGAACCTGAACTTAATCATTTGTAAAACAACCAGATCTGTTGGATTCTGCAGACAGCTCATATGGAACGTTAGAGAAGTTTAAAATATTTAATAGGTATATAACTTACTTTTAGATACTGTAAATAAAAACATAATTTATCAAGTTTTCTATTTTTCTTAGCAGGAGTTGGATGGGCGGTAGGTAATAAATCGCTTACCTGTTTCCGTGGTATTTGAAGCCAACATCGTTGCAGACTCAAGCATATCTTTGCCAGTTCTGATAGCCTGTTCTACCTGAATAGCTCTGAAGGTGGTACTTTTCTGTATGTAGTCATACAGCTCCTCCAGTTCCTTCGTCGCCACTGAGCTGTCCACGTAGAAGTCCTCCACCTTCTGAAAAAGGTTAATTTATTTTGAAAAAATTGAGACTCTCTTACTCCGACTTCGATTCAAACTGTGTCGATACCTCCGCGTAACAAACGGTCTGCATCACCTAGTGTGCATAAGGTCGCTCAGCTACGTGCTGCCAGAATACAAAGCTAGCCATAGATTAATTATATAACATAAGCTCGACAACTTTGCACTATTTTCTAAAAAGGTTATCATAAGAATGTTCAGACGTAAGACGTAACTTTACGACACATGTAAAATAAGAAATAGAACATGGGTTGCTATTGTTCTACAGATTTTTAGTTGGATACGAAACACTGTCCTCGATGCAAATTACTTTTTGAAGTCGTTGGGATAACTTTGATTGAATTGTCGACCTTGCAACCACAAAAAATTTCGAAAATGTTTGGATGCTATATGACATCATAAAAAACCATGTCACTCATGTCCGTCGGTCTGATATCTGTGTCTGTCAGTCCGCTAATCGTTGACGCGTCTATAACGTGGGGAGTGCCACTTAGATTTGGATGAAACCTTCAAACATGGTTTCTACTGCCAAAGCCAAAATAGTTTTGCAGCTTTTCAAATTGATTCAATGGCGGAGAAGCTGCGGGGAAAAAACGTAAAAATATGAATTGCCCAAACTTTTGACATTTCAGAGACTGATGATTTTCAAAAAAAAGGAGCCGTTAAAAATTGCTGGTTGTGATTTTAGGGGATCGGGGAACGTATACCTCAATTCTTTGATGTTGGTACATTTATACGCTCCCAAATCAGGTAGTTCTAAGCAGCTACAAGACATTTCACACATAGATTTCCGATAAATGCGACAATCTGGTGTTATGAGGTAATCTAATAAAGAAAAACTGTGGACATAGTAATGCATACGGCCTCCAAGAAACTAATACTCTAGATTTTGCGACTATGACTGGGAGTAGAAATCATTTGTCAGACGTTGAAAAAAAAAATACGGATTCAAAAATGAGATATAAGTACTTCACAGCATAGCATCGTATAAGTTACTTCTTAGTAGTATACAAGGTCAAACGGTCATAGAAAGGTAGAGAGAGGTGTCTCGTGAATGGTTGAAATTGGAAATACTATTTTGGATATAACTGTTTTCAAACGTACTTAAATTATACGGTACTGGCATCAGTGAATGCTGCATAATTACTATAATTGTGAAAGTACTGCTGATTGGTTGACCAAGAATAACACAACGTAAAATTTAATTTCTGTGCGTTGTGGCTTAATGGCATCCCTTGTCCGTTAATTTTGGTAGAGAAAATTATCAATACTACACATGGTGTCGGCACGTGTTTTATGATCATACTGTGAAAAAATAGTACTCAGCCAAATCCTGGAAAACACGTCAAGACAAAGCATTATATTTGAAAAATCGAATTGACCTTCTCAAGAAAAACCATGTTACCCTAACATCGGTCTACCGGTCTGCCTATCCGCTAATCATTGGCCCGGCTATAACTTAGAAAGTAGCGCTCGGGTTTTGGTGAAATTATAAGAGTAGAAGGTTTTAAATGCAGCATCTTTGGTATCAGTGAAAGACGTTTTATTATTCACAAATTTGTGATCGCGGTGCATATATATATACAGGGTGTCCGCAAAGTTGGGGTTTTCCTTTACACGACGTGTAGATCTGGAAAACATAAGCAAATTTTCTTAGTACCATATACACCAATGTCTTAAGGGAACCGAGATAAAATGCTCTGCAACATCAAAAATATCTGAATACCGTCCTGTGGCCGCGACCCGCCGCGATATCCCAGACTGGTACCGGCTACTAGCTGAACCCGACGACAGAACTGGGTCGGGGGTCGGGGTCAGTGAGTCAGGTCAGTATGCAACCTTCAACCGACGGTAAAGGGTCACGCGTATAGAGGTAACGAACCCGTATAATCGATTGCGTTTAAAAAAAAATAATAATAATGGCACACTCATACACCAATAATGAACTCGTTGATATGTTGTTAATTTATGGCGAATGTCTTCAAAATGCTATAGAATTGTCGCGAGTGTATGCAGATCGTTTCCCTAGACGACATCATCCAAGGCCCCGCAGATTTGTGTACCTGGTCCAGAGAGTCAGGGATACGGGCCATTTGGAGGAATTTCGAGGTGGGCACAGTGGGAGGCCTAGACAACCACGAATGGTGCAAGTTGAGGAAGAACTACTGAATCGCGTAGACGAGAATCCCTCAACAAGCACTAGAGACGTGGCTAGAGAAGTGCAAGTATCAAAAACTAAAGTGTGGCAAACGTCCAACGTGTACAAGCCCTTCAACCTGACGATTTTCCAGCAAGAGTGCGGTTTTGTGAGTGGTTGTTGCATCAACATGACAATAATCCGGACTTTTTGAAGTGCATATTGGTGACAGACGAATCTACGTTCACGCGTAATGGGGTGAATAACTTTCGATTTCAGGCAGAGACGTACTTAGCCCTTCTCGTCAACTGGAGAGTGAGTACTTTTTCCTTTATTTGTTTTTTTACTTGGTCGCCCTCGTTTCACTACACATTACCATTGTTATTTCAAGGGGTTTCTGAAAAGGAAAAGCCCAACTTTGCGGACACCCTGTATATATATATATATATATCGCATTATATTTACGTTTAAATGCGTGTCAGTGAGCGGGGTGTGAAGAAAGGGGGGTAGTGAGACCTTGAACGTGAGATGCGCGAGAAGACGTGTATGGGTTTCAGCAGAAAGAGAACATACATAGCGTCGCTCAACTCTACGAATTGTAGGTTATACGTTGTAAATTGTTCAGGAGGCAACAAGTAAAGCGATAACGCAGTTAACCCCGTGTTCCTATCCATAACCCTGAATCCGCTCGGGAACTATTTCACAGTCTCAAAAGGGTACGCATTGTGGCCAAGAAAACAACCTTAAACCACGTTATTCATGTTTCTACCAGTCTAAGGAGGTTATATTGTAACGTCGTAACTAGAACAAAGGGACACCCTAGTAACGTCGACGCTTAGGCAACCAATCATGCAATAAGGATTATTCACGACGCGATAACGAACATTCGAAACGCTTCAAGAGGAATCGACCGCCATTATCTAGAAAACGATGTAGTGCATCGGGACCTGTCGATCATCATAAAGTACCCAGGCGCTGCCACCAGAGGGACAGTCAGTCAGACCTACAACGGACGATAAACCTGTAACGGCAACAGTCATAGTTGTTGTTACAAATTTGAATAAGAGCAATAAATTAGATCTTTAGCACTAAAAATGGTACTTTAGTTAAAACACCAATTTTTTTTAGTGAGATATTGTTTTTGGAGGTTATATGACACGTAAATCACGGAACCTTGTACCATAGATTTGTACAGACTTCTGCTACTGTGCCAAGGACGCAAAAGCTTTGTTTCTGAAAATTGGTCCTGAAAAAGGCCAAAACAGAGAGGATCCTGATCATTTTTGGGAAAACATTTATAGGGAAAAAACTTGGAGGTGTGGAGGGTTAATAACAATTTTCGTGCCCTTGTACGCTCCCAACCTTAAAAATGCGACCCATCTATCATACAAATTTCACCTATCATTAATTTCTTCGTACATTAGCCCTTAAGGGCGGTATCGTCAGTCGTTCCACAATTGTAGGACGCCTTTAAGGCCTCCTTAATTTTTTAGTGCTCTACTGTTCCGTGTCAGCGCTCTATTTTGAGGTTATGTTGCAAATATCTTTGCATGACATTGTTCATGATTTTCTTTCATATTATCTGTTATAAAACAAAAATTTATACCAATTCAAAAAGAAAAGATTGCCTCACAATAGGAGAGAGCTGACCCTGAACAGTAGAAATCTAGAAATATCCCAGCCTTTGTGAAGGAGAGAAAAGACTATGAAAATCAAGGAGGCCATAAAGGCGTTCTACAATTATTGTAGGAACGACTGACGGCACGGCACTTGAACATACATAATTATGATAAATATTCTCGGCAAGCGGGTAGCGTACCTACCGGCCGCGACTGATCCTCCCGGTGGCGTGCCGCCTTCCTTGGTGAGTATTCTTTTGACTTCTGACCGGGTTAACTATCGAGGAGAGGCGACATTGCCAGATACACCACCGGTAGGACATGGCAAGAATGTCTATGGTCTTGTTTGAATGACTTTATCCCTAGAGGGCCTAAGTAGTTTGTGCTGAACTTAATCCATAATGAGCTGGTATAGGTGTTGCGTGGAAGTGCAAAGTCAACCTACTTGATGCCATTTTTTATCTGCAAATCGATTTTTCCTTTCATGTCAAACATAAGAACGATTAACGTCAAATTAAGGCGAAATTTTTGTAAAACTATTGAAAATTGGTTCCCTCTAGGTGACCTTGGGAACTAGAGGGTTAAGTATATATTTTTTCTCTGATAATAAAACCTGAGCTTAAACCTCCTGGGTCATAATTACCTTTCTGGTCTCGATCCACCTGTCGTGGTCGTAAACAAAGTTGCCTCCGAGTTCAACAGGAAGTTGACTCTGGTCGACATATTTATTCAGCCTGGATCTCGGTATGAAAATCACCTGGAACAAGAAGATTGATTGCTGGTTAATTGGTGATAATTGCGCGGCTTCCTTGCCAAGCCTCCAATGTAAAGCAAAGAGATAAAACGGAACGGTTGAGACTATTTTGTATCAGATTTATTAGTCGTTAATGGGGTACCATTTTGCTCTGGAAGGTTCAAACAACCACGAAGGCAAAGACTAAAGATGGATTTCCGTACCGCTGTGGAAGAATTTCAGATACTTTATTGATACTTAAATTTAAGACTAACAGTATCGAAAAAGCCAACTCCGGCTTGATCATTCCATATTCTCGTTCATGTTTGGGTCTTCGTACGTTTGAATAGTGAAGTCAGAAAACTGATTACAAGACATGATACCAATACCTCAAGCCAAACTTTATTTTATTGCCTATTATTTGGCAGGCTGTACTGTTGAGTTTGAAAGCACTGAACTGCGTCGTATTTCTCCAACCGGTGACAGCTTCCGGCATTATGTCAGGGAGGAAGGCTGAGGTATTTTTTCTTCAATACAAATCGAGAGATTTGTTACATAAATGGCTGCTTATAACAGCAGCCATTTATATTCAAGGGCACTGATTGGAATTTGATTGAACTTGAAAAACTTTAAAAGTGAGTTTACAAACAGCTCGACAAGCCTCCAGTATGACACAGACATCACATACAAAAAATTGATTCCATGATATAAGCAACGGTGTAACTGACGTCCAATATGCAAATTTGATTAATGACTTAAAGGTGCAAATCTATGCATTTAAATAGCTGTTCATGGCATTTCCAGTACAAGTGCATGATTAATTAAGCAATGTAGGTAAAAAAAATAAATATTTGCGGAACTATGATTCTGGAATGTTACTACTGACTTGATTATCACGATTTGCAAATTGATAGATTGTTAAAAATGCTGTGAGAGGGATATCGAAGCCGTACTACATTCTGTTATATTTACTGTATTCGCTGATCATTTGATGATATACTTTGTCTATTATGGTTAAAGAGCTCTAGAATTTAGAAGGATAGCTAGTCTAGAGGAAGAAAACCTCAAACTAAAATCACACAGTCCTGTTGGAGACTTAGAGTCATGGGGCTAGCACCCTTATTCGTCCATATTCTAAAATTCCTGGTTTAGATGTTGAGCTTCGGAAAAAGGGTGGTTTCAAACGAAACTCGCCATGGGAAAGGAACATCATTTGAGCTACATGGAACGTGCAGGGATTCTGCAATAAGACTGAAGTTGTGATAAATAACCTCGAAGAAATGAAAGTTGATAAAGCAGTGCTTACGAAGACCCAAAGGAAAGGAAATGACATTTAATGGTTATCGACTATCTATACGTAGATATCCACACATATATATTGGAGTTCCTAAAAATAACAGCTCAGCAAAGGATGTTTCTATTTTATTAAGGAATATTAAAAGGTTCTTGTAAGCTGGGAAGCAATAAACAAGACATTACTTTCGATAGATCTCGTGATAAAAGGCCATCGAACTACACATATAGGAGTATATGGTATAAAAAATGACACAAACCTAGCAAAAAAAGATAAATACTATGATCAGCTAAACCTAACTGTTATAAACAGAAGTACTGGGAGGCTTCAACTCCAGGGTTGGAAAACGGAACAATGGGAGATACAGTGAAGGTATTGAAAACGATAATGGTAGAAGACTAATACAGGTATGACGACAACAAAGGTAAAAACAAATTGATGCTTGCCCTTAGTCTCTGCGGGGCCCCTACGCAGTTGCATACTCTGCCTAATGGTGAATCCGGCCGTGCATGCATCCAACTCAGCTGGTTGTAAAATACACTATACTTTAAAGTGTAGCTAGATGAGCATGTTGTTGTACTACGAACCTCCTTGTCTTTCTGCGACGATGTGCAATACTCGACCCGCTGCTTGTCCCAGAAGGCGTCCGGCCTGAGGACGATGCACTGCGCCAGCTCTTCCGCGGAGAAAACTGCATTCACCTGTCGGATGCAGGCACGCGCCACTTTCCACGGACCCTTCCTGCCGTCTATTATCACCGTCAGGCCTCTCAGACGACTCGTTTCGCTGTGGACAACCGACAATCTTTCTTAAATACACATTCGTTAAAGTACACAGAAGTACTATCAAAAGTTGGCTTAATGTAAACAGCTATTCCAAAAGCCTCATTTTCATTCTATCCTGCACGCTCAGAGAAATCAACTATAATAGACTACTAAATTAAAAGCTACAAGAACAAGTACTTGAAAATATGGTCAAATAATATTCTTATCCACAAAATAACAAAATCACATGCATATGTTTAGAAAAATCTTAGAAAATAAGACTAGCTGTCTGGTGAGATCGTACCGAAGAAAGACGTGGTAGTGTTTCAGGGATGCTTTTTGCATTCATTTTTTCTACCTAAGGCCCGTATCGTCAGTCTCCCTACAATTGTAGGGCGCCTTTATGGCCTCCTTGATTGTCATAGTTTTCTACTTCTCCGTGTCAGAACTCTATTTGCATCAAATTGTGCTTGCTTTTGAGTTATATCATGTTTTATCAGGCTGAAATCTCCTACAATTTAAAAAGAAAACATATCTTCACAATAGGAGAGCGCTGACGCTGACACGGGACAAGTGTAATCTAGACATTTTTTAAGGAGAGAAAGAAGTATGACAATCAAGGAAGCCATAAACGCGCCCTACAATTGTAGGGACGACTGACGATATGGGCCTTAATTGTTGTCACCAGTATTTGTAAAATCACCTGGTATAAAAAAGAAGCAGTGTCTGTTCAATAGGTAATTCTCACCTCAGCTCTTTTGCACCTACGGGTTTCAGTTTGAATCATTAGTTGTCTGTCATTGTATGTAAAATAGAGGACCATCTTACAATAGACAAATGAAAGCGCATGTGTGTCTATGATTCATCGGGTACTATGTCCTCAACAGATTATTTTAACGAATATGTGAATGCGCTGGGTCCCAAGACAATCTATTTAAGCTCTCTCGTCAATTTTTTAAACGCTTCATTGTTCAAAGTTAAAAAAGAAGCTGTGCTGCTATTCAGAAAAGAAATTTGTGAGTATAACTATCAAAGTATTGTTGCAAGAAAGATTTTGCTTACAGCATTGCGATCTAAGTAGACAACAAGTAAAAATGCCCCTTAATCATTCCCGCCAATTTTATACTCAAGCAAGTATCTCATAAATATGATGGAGGGGCTATGGTACTATACTAATTCAAGACATGTATGTTAACTTGTTGTATTAGTCTGTATTTTGTATCATAAAGACTCGTCCTAAGAGGAGGTATGTAGCGTACATAACACTGATCAACAGCCAAAAAATGTCCTAAATAAAATCAACAGAATATTACTATTTTTAACTTGCTAAAACGGGAATGAAACTTATTTTCTCAATATTAGTTCAAGTTTTAGAGATACGGTAATTATATGTGTTCCTACTGTGACAGTGTTAATATACTGTAATTCACAAGAATGCACGTGCTACATTTTTATATTCGGCAAGGAAAGATGATGTAATCGGCATGATTGTGTTACGTTATACATACGTGTACATTATATTGATTTATATTAGCCATTTTTTCCTCAGTTGGCTGACAGCGTTCATGCAAGATGTCTCGAAAGTGTGTAAACAGTCCAGATCAGTTTTGTTACGTGTGTGGTGATGTGACTTTTGCGTCTCAGAGACGGTCTATTACTCCACTAATAACAAAGGCATATCAGCTTTATTTCGGTTGTAAACTAGGTGATCAAGACAAATAGTGGGCACCCCACATCTGCTGTAATACATGTGCTTCAATTCAAGTCTGAGGAGCTGGTTGAATGGCAAAAAACGGTCTATGCGCTTTGCTGTCCTAATGGTTTGGAGAGAGCCTACAAATCATATTAGTGATTGTTACTTTTGCATGGTACCTTGTGTTGGACAAGCCACAGGTATGTCCAAGAAAAAAAATCGGTTATTAACTACCCAAACATACCATCTGCGATGAGACGTGTGCCTCACAGTGACGAAAATCCTATTCCAAAACCCCCAGAATCCTACACTTGCGAATCAGAAAACGAATCAGATCGTGGCGATCGAGTGATTCGTCAGGAAGAAGATATGCCATCAACGTCAAGAGATCCTGATTTTATACCGAGCACGTCATGCCACCAACCGCACAAAATAACACAGTCAGAATTAAATGATCTTGTAAGAGATTTAGAACTTCCAAAATGTAAGGCAGAGTTACTTGGATCAAGACTGCAGCAGTGGAACTTGTTAGAAGACGATGTTTCGGTATGTGTTTTTCGTAAACGCCACAAAGACTTAGAACCGTTTTTCAATATGGAGAATAACTTGGTTTTCTGCAGTAACATTAACGGCTTACTGGCGGCTTTAAATATAAACTATAACCCAGAAGAATGGAGTTTGTTTATAGACAGTTCAACGTTGAGTTTAAAGGCAGTGTTATTGCATATTGGAAATATTTTACCAACTCTTCCTGTAGGGTATGCAGTTCACATGAAAGAATCATATGACAATATGAAGTACCTATTGACATGCATAAAATTCGATGAGCACCAATGGCATATTTGTGGCGATTTTGGGCTGCAGCTAGGCTACACAAAGTTTAGCTGTTTTTTGTGTGTATGGGACAGTCGGGCAAAGGCACTTCATTACACCAGACAAAACTGGCCTGTTCGTCAATTCCTAGAGCCAGGTCAAAAAAATGTACAGCATATGTCATTAGTAGATTCGAAAAAAAATTTATTACCACCACTGCATATCAAGATGGGCCTACTGAAAAACTTTGTCAGGGCATTAGATAGAGATGGGTCAGCTTTTCAATACCTGCGTCAGAAATTTCCAAGACTAAGTGAGGCAAAGGTTAAAGAAGGTGTTTTTGTTGGGAAACAGATTCGAAATATTTTGAAAGATACACAGTTTGAAAACACTTTAACAGGTATTGAAAAAACTGCTTGGAATGATTTCCGTCTGGTGGTCACTAATTTCTTGGGAAATAGAAAAGCTGACAACTATAAAACCCTTGTCAAAAATATGCTGTCATCGTATCCAAAGATGGGCTGTAATATGTCTCTTAAGATACATTTCCTACACTCACACCTGGACTTTTTTCCTGACAATTGCGGAGCCGCAAGTGATGAGCACGGCGAACGTTTTCATCAGGATATTTCAACAATGGAAAAAAGGTACCAGAGAAAGTGGAATCCTTCCATGCTTGCAGACTACTGTTGGACTCTTGGTGATGCTCCAGAAACGATCCATAAAAGAACAGCAAAAAGACAGCGTATATAGTGATTCTTATAAATATATGAATCTTGTTACTTTTTTTAATATATCCTTGAAAATAAAAAGTTTTTTTTCTAAACCGCAACTAATTTTTTTATTTCATTGTCATTTTTGGATTCAGCGCCCCAAAATTAACAAAGAAGTGCACTTTTCCCACAAGATACAATTAAAAAACTAAAATTTGTTGTCCAGTGAATTAAAACTAAAAACAAAATTAAGTATTTACAAGATAGTACAAACAGGAACAGCTTAAGGCGTGGAAGAATTCATATATTGTAAAAGTTTAAAAAAAATCAGACATATGACAGTGCGAGGTATTCAGACAAAGAGTAGAAAAATTGTTCAACTAATAATTTTCGTAGTACTAGCAACGTTAATATACACGGTAGAAATGAATTATTAGTAAAATGTTTTTGTTTTCCTCTATCACGGCCACAGTTTAACATACAACGGCCATTAAGCGGCTATAAACAAAAAACGCTCAAAGTTCTGTTGCGTTATAGCCAAAGTTAAAGGGAGTGACATTTGTGAGTTTATGTAACAAAATATCATTCTAAGAGAGGTTTTGCTTACAACACTGCAATCCAAGTAGGCAACAAATGAAAAAGCTCCAGGATCATCCTCACCAATGAGATATACTCAGATAGATATATCACAAATTGCTGGAGGGGATATGGTACCATATTTGGTATTATTCAGAGACAATAAGACATGCTATTCGTTCTATTATTATATTGTGTATTTTGCATAACATAGACGGTACTAATGAATGAACAATGAACATGTTTCTGTTCTCTTCTATCACGCCCACAGTTTTACATACAATGGTGATTAAGTGGTTATAAACAAAAAACTTGTGGGTGTTAATCCGTCTGGCATTTATTAATGTTTATATTAATATATTCTCTATTATTCGTGTAGATATATGTGCTGCTCTAGTTTACCAGAGCTACAGAAGTTAATAATAGTAATAAGACGTCTTATTGGATTGCAAATGTACGTCACATTTTATTCTGTATACGCGCAGTCTAAATAAATCTATTCCACTCAATTTACTCCAATAATGATACCCTAGGTAAGGAGAATTAAATATTTCAACATATAAATATTGTGAGGTGTACTAAAAATACGCATTAAAAATTCTATAAATATGTACCAAAGACAAAGAATATACTAAGCAAAATACAATGAGACAAATAAAAGAATACACTGAATCAATCTGACAACACTAACGCTTAAGATGTACGAGCCCCTTCCCACTTCAGTTGGCCCACTTTCAGATTTGTACCAAAATATGGCTTTATAAACTAAACATGACAAAACTATTTACTTCTAAAACAATTTATTTTCTCGAAAACATTTTAGATACACTCTAGCCGCGAAAAATACATATTTGAAAGTACTTAGACCTATAAATAATAGAACATCTGAACAAATAAACAATGTGCGAATAAATGCGCGAAGTTAACAAAGCAACAATTGAATGATTACCATTCGGTAACATCACCTTTATTTTTATTACGGCTGAAATTCTTCGGGGCATAGTGTTAACCAAGTTTTGGCAAAAATTTGGTGCAAAACAATCCCATATTTCTTGAAGCTTTTGTCTCAGTTCGGTGATTGTACGAGCAGGATGATGTCGTGGAACCTTTTTCATCTCGTGTCACAATAGGTGGCAGATCTGGACTGCTAGAAACCCATTTAAAAAGTAGTAAATTATTTCCTTCCATCCACTTTATAGCCTTTTTTGAGGTATGGCACGCTGCACT